TCATGAACTATAAACAATCAGGTCAAATATGAATATTCGTTTGATTTTTATATTTGATTTATACGGGAATCCCACATTTCTCCCTTATTATTATTATTATTTTTAGTAAAATGCTGAAGTGGTAGGTAGATGCAAAATAAAGGTAGAAAACATAGTTTAGTGCTGTAAGAAAGCAAATGTAGATGATCAGGTGTGTGCCTCTAGACTAAGTATTAATCCAAGCTAGACAAGGGCAACAAAACATCCATGGATGCAGAAGATTTCTCTCAAAACGGGGGGTGAGGTTCTAAGCCTCACCTCTGTTGATCCCCAATTTCTCACCTGATGGCCCCCCTGCTCAAAATATTTTTTAATTCTGCTTTTGATTTTGAGATTCCTTGTGGTCCTTATCTCTTTTATCATCTTTCTGCTTCTTGCAAGTATTTTTGGACATAGGCTTTTAGTTTGAATTTTTTGATTGCTATTTCTGATCTTTAATTTTGTGACATTTTTTCCATAGTCTCTCAGGTATATTTTCTGTTTTTCCTCTCTGTGTTTCAAGCAAGACATGAGAAACAGCTTCAGATATTATGAACTAATGAACTGTGTCCTCTGCTTAAACTCTTAGCAGCTTATTCTCTCTTCTCCATTAGAATGTTGCCAGTACTAAAAAGGCAAAGATTTTCGTCTCTTTGGCTAGATGCTCTATCTATAGAGACCAGAACAGTACTGGTCATCAGTAAATATTTATTGAAAAAATAAGTACAATCTGTTGTAGTCCACTGTGGTTGGCCCTGAGATAACAAATTCTCTCATACCCCTGCTTCCCTTTTAATTCCTAACTGGACTATAGATTGATAGCCCTTGATACTGTTCCTTTATGATAGGTTTTTATCTGTTTGGCCTTTGCTTCAGTTTGGTAGTCATTAGGCATAGAATGTGATATGTGTGAAACTTCAGTTTTGAACCTACTCTTGGCTTGGCCTCCACGCCTCTACTGATGTAAGTTAATTCTGATGTCACATGGGACAAGTGAAAAACCAATAGGTAAACTGCACAAGACAACAGAAAAGCAATAAGGCAGGCAAGAGACCGCTCTTGTTTGGCCAGTGAATTAGCAAAAACATGGTACATGGTATGTTTTTTATTGTCTATCTTCCAACTTATAAAAATCTCTTACACCTTTATTGAGAGGTTATGTACCATATGAATCTGTTAATAAAAAAATGCTTTCCAGAGTAAAGAGAGAAAATTCCTTTCTCAGGAAGAGCTGAGGAACTTAAACAATTTATAAATTCTTGGTGGTATAGTCTGAAGGAAAAGCTTTCCTGAAATGTTACGCCAAAGGTGTAGGGAAACTAGAAGCTAGTGACCTCAAGAATAAGACACAAAGAATGAAGAGAATAAAACAGATCATTAGTTGTGTTTTAGGTTTATTAAAATCTTTGGAATAAACTCAGTATAGAAGCCAGGAGTTTAGAAGTCACTTCATGCATATTTTGTTATGTTTTTATGATGGTGGCCACTGTAGTTACTCCAAGAGTGAGGAGGGGAAGCTGGAAGGGAAGTCACTTGATTTCATTTAATGCAGTTCCTTAACTTGATAAGTGGATACCTCTTTAGTGCAGTTTTTACAACTTTAAAAAAAAGTCTGGTCATGTTTTGATCTTCATCCGGAGTGTGTGAGCACTCCTTTTGGCATTTTTTAAAGAATATTTATCAGATCAGTCTATTATTTACTCCCTGAGTGTCTTGTTTCTTGTGTAGTTTATAGTGCACCTTCTTCAGATTTCCTTGCTTAAAACACTCAGCAGGTGATGGCATTACACAGATAAATGTCTATTACTACTTCACCTAATAAACAGAAGTAGGAGCAATAAAGATTACATCTCAAAATTCAGTTTTCAGTGATCAGTGGGCTCTTGGATTGGGCAATTCTGTAGACAGGTAGAAAGCACAAAATTCATTAAATATCTTACTGATTTTCTTCGTACAACATGCAGGAATATTGAAAATCTTGGGATGCAAGTAGCAGAAACCTATGTGAGCTGGTTTGAACAGTGCATTTAGAAATGCATTTATTTAGAAATCCCCGAAGGCAAGGATGCAGCAGTGCCTCAAGATGGGCTACAATAGAAAACCAGTATGTCTAAGAAGACTTCATTCCCTCTTTTCTGGTTCATATATGTACTTCTTTCTCAGTAAAATATATTTCATTTTGCCCTATTTCTCTATTTCTCTGAAGATTGAAGAGTAGTCTGCTCAATACTTTTGAATGATTACCACTCCTCTACCCATTGTGTTAAATGTTCACCTATGTAGAGATAGTCAGTTTTTTAAACCCCAGTTCTTCATTTTGAGAGAGAAGACTCAAGCCTTCCTACGACAAGTTCACATTTCTGGACTGTCTGTTGGGATAAGAGTTGGGTCTCATGATATAAACAGGATCCAGTCCTATGTGTGGGTGAGACAACAGTTGAAGGGGAGGTTATTGTAAACCAAAGGGGATGGTGAGGTCAAGAGGTGGTAAAAATAAAAATCACAATTATTTCATAAGTAAATATCTGAGGTTTTGCCCTCTTGTCTTTTAATAAGGAGATGTAAGAGGCTGGGGTTTGTGACAGGCTTAAGTTTGATAAAATAGGCATTTGACTATAAGGACCAGATATAGTACAGAAAGGGGAAAAGTGGAATGGTTGGCATCATGAATTTGGAGACTGAAAGCATGATGGACCTAAAAAAGTACAAAATCGAGAAATCAGGAAAACAATTCCATTCACAATTGGATCAAAAAGAAAAAAATACCTAGGAATAAACCTAACGAAAAAAAAAAGTACAAAATCTATTTGAAATAGCATGAACAGGATTTTTCTGTATTTTCTGAATTTCCTTTCTGTTCATTACACATAGATCATGTAAATTGTACACAAGTTCTCCCTTTTAAAAAAGTGTTGTATGGAAAATATTTTAACTTGAGCAATTGCAAGAGTTAAACTACATATATTAAGATATTTCATATTACTGGAAAGAGATTTGCAAAGTGATTAGGATTTAACTTTAAAGATTTCTTTTCAGACTTTAAGTTTACTTGATAAGGCCCTTTAGTCCAGGGGCAGAAGGAACAGGGAGCTGCTGCAACATATTTCTAGCAAGTTCACATACTTATTTGTTAGAGTTAACTGGACATCATAATTTTACTCATTAACTCAGAAAAAATGGAATCAGTTGAAAGAACTGGGTGGTGATAGAGATGGAAAAATTACTGGCTCCTATCTTGTATGCCTATAATTTAACATTTTGTCCACCATGATAAACACTAGGTATGTTTTATTTTGGAAAACATATGTCAGCAGTAGGGGTTGTTGTTTCAAAACAGAAAAATTGTTTTGTGGAAAATGATTCGATAGGAAAAATGTTCCTTGGTTTTTCTTCACTAATCTAGAGGCAAATATAGGAAGGAAAGTTTACTCATGCATAACTAAACTTGTCTACAATGTGTTGTGTCAGTCTTGTAAACTGCTTCGTTTTTCAGAATAAGAAAGGTACAGTTTGTTTCACTTTTATTTTTATTGAGCGTAATTGACATAAGTTTGAGTTGTACATATTTTGCTATTTGTATATATTGCAGAATGATCAGTACCGTAAATCCCTTTAACATCCATCACCACAGTTACAATTTTTTTTTTAACTTTTAAGATCCACTTTCCTAGCTGCTTTCAAGTATGCAGTACACTACTGTTAACTATAGTCACCATGCTGTACATCCCCAAGACTTAATTCATTTTATAACTGGAAATTTGAGGCTTTCAGTTTTCAAGTCCTTTTTGGATTTCAGGTTTATGGGTCAGTTCTATTTTGGAGTTTCATGAACAGAGGTCTGAGATTAAACTGAAGACTTGGGATCGGAAGAACTGAGGATAGAGTTAGGTTTCTGAGCATAGTAGTCAGAAAGGTAGGTGAGTTGGAGAACTCTGACCAGTAGTGTTGCCTGCACATAAACCCATCTTTCTAGCTGGGACTCTAGGGCTTCCCTTGGTGTAGGATTGGAACTCACAGAGCAAACAGTAGGGATTTCATTTTCTTTGGGTATATACCCAGAAGTGGAATTGCCAGATTAAATGTTTTTTTGGGTTCTTTGGGGTTCCATACAAATTTAGGATTCTTTGTTCTATGAAAAATGCCATTGGAATTTTGATAGGGATTACACTGAATCTGTAGATTACTTCGGGTAATATGGATACTTTAACAATATAAATTCTTCAGTTTCATTTGTCAGTGTCTTAAATTTCCAGTATACCTTTTTTCTCTGTATGTGCACTCTGGTACCATTTCCCCTGTTAGGGAAATACATATCCACAGTTCAGTTGTTCAGAGATTTTAATGGAGATGATTGGATTCTGTTGACTAAATTTTTAGAGTAATTATATGGATTGCTGTCATATTGCTGAAAATTATCTTCCCAATCTTTGTTTCCTTTGCAAAGTAGAATAAAAATTTAGCATCAGAAGGGATGTAAGAGTTATTTAAGTTCCTTTTATTGGGATTGAGCGGCATATTTGTCCAGACCAGAAGAATTTCATGTTTTATGCCTTGGTTTTTTTTTAAACTTATGGTGCCCCACTTTTGAAAGTCTCTATTTCAGATGAATAAGAATTGTTTTCATTTCAGTGTGTTTACAGTCATTGATACCCAAAAAAAGGCATATTGATTTGAAAGCTCACTGTATGCTGACATATATAAATAGATATTTGATGCTGTCCCAATCTGTAACAATAACCCAAATTTATAAAGATTAATGTTCAAATGGAAAGATTTGAGGGGAATGTAACTTAAATATGTGAAATTTGTGTGTAGGGGGGATCCCTCCATATACCCATCATCCAGCATTTATCATTCTTAATTTTTAATTGTTCTTCAGAAACATTTTTAATCTTGAAATTTTTTTTAGGCTTTGTCTAACTACAAAATAAATCTAGGCATATTCTAAATCACTTTAAAGAAGAACTTTCATTTTTCTGCAGTGTTTCCTGAGGATATAGGCGGGTGTTTGAAGAGTACATGCGGGTTATTAGCCAGCGGTACCCAGACATCCGCATTGAAGGAGAGAATTACCTTCCTCAGCCAATATATAGGTAAGTAAATTTCAGTAACTTAAAAGGAATTTTTCAGTGAATTTTTTTTTACTTGTGAATAAATTTTTGTAAATTGGTTCAATTAATTTTCCTTGGTTATTAAAATTTCTTGGTTATGTATAAGAACCTTGTTTTATAAATAGCAAGTTTATTTGATCCAAATACAGAAGAATTTTTCTATAAGAAGGAAAGAGGATTATTTCAGAGTTGGTAGCCCTTCTAAAGCTGTGTCTCCTTACGTAATTTTTATTGTGGAAATAGCCCAAGAACTCCCAAAATTTTGTAGAAAGTAAATGGTACAAAATTTTCTACCATTAAAATAATAGTATTTTTAAATGCCAATGCCATATAATTTTATGTTAGTTTTGATTAATTTAAAAGATATTAAACTTTTGTTTTAAAACTGCACAGTAACCTTTGGTTATTATCTTTTTCACTGATTATAATTGGTGACTTTTAGATTTGGTGTCTAGAAAATGTACACATAGACTGGAGGTATGAAATTTTGAAGTAGATGTAAAAATATGGCTTCTGATGAATATGTTTCTTTTCTTTTAATAGACACATAGCATCTTTCCTGTCAGTCTTCAAACTAGTATTAATAGGCTTAATAATTGTTGGCAAGGATCCTTTTGCTTTCTTTGGCATGCAAGCTCCTAGCATCTGGCAGTGGGGCCAAGAAAATAAGGTATGTAACAATAGCTGTGTGATAGCTGTAGGTTTTTAAGTTGTCAGTGAAGGTATTTTAATGGATTTTTCTTCATTTTTAAAGTAGTTGATTTCCCTGTTTAAGTGTTATTTCAACTTTATCTCTGGGCAAAGCACTTAACCTCCCTTGGCCTTAGTTTCTATATTTATGTATTAAGAATGATTAGGTTTTACCTTTTTATTATTGGAAGGATAAGGAGGTGTTGCTTTAGTAGGCCCTGGGCACAGAACAATTTATGCCTGATTTTGGTTATATAACTTAGGGCAAATCATATCCACCAAAATATTATATACACAAAACGTAGGCCTTTTATACCAACTGATGTGGATTTTAGGGGGTTTATTCTCTTTAAAAAAATGGGATTTCCACCACAAATTTATTCTTACCTGAACTATGTCTTTTTTTTTTTTTACTATTTATCTTTTGACTTTCCTATTTATGGGGACTCTGTTTAGTAAATTACATTACCTGTAACAATCAATGTAAATATGTATAAGAATCTTTTTCTACTTGTTCTATCCTTTATAGGATTTTGCTACAGCATATATTTTGTTTTTCTTTATTAAAGTACATTGATATGCAATCTTACGATGGTTTCACATAGACGACACAGTGGTGGTTTCAACATTCACCCATATTGTCAAGTCCTCACCCCCTCTCTTGTGGTCACTGTCTTTCAGTGTAGTAAGATGTTATAGAGTCATTAATTGTCTTCTCCATTACAACATATATTCTTTCTAGCTCTCTTTCATCTGTTTTACTTAAAATCATGTTTTCTGGAGGTTTTACCTTAGGCTGTGAGAAATGGAACTAATTTTTATTTCTCTCTTGGATGAGATTGCCTTGGTGTCCTTCCAAGAAGTAGTCTCTTTTGGAGTCCTCTATCTGAACTGATTACCTTTAGCTGATGACTGTGTAGCTATACTAATTTTTCTTAGGGAATCACTTATTTCCAGTAACATTTGAGGCTTCTTAAATAATCTCAGGTGCTGTCTCTAATTGCAGTGTATGTCTATCCTGTTATTAACAAGATACTAATTTGGATCAGATTAAGAATTGAAGTTTTACCTATTGAAAATGTTTTGTGCTATATTTATTAATTCTATTGATTGCAAATTATCTTTAGTGCATTTTACTTTAGACATATAACATGCTTGATCTGTGGAAGAGGAATGTACTTGAAAGCTGAAGTTTTATGACACATCCTGTGGATTTTTCCCAAGAAAGTAGACTTATATTCCAAAAGGCTAGGGTAACCGTTATGAAATGAAAGCCTGACTACTCAAGTGGAACTGAGGGGAAAGCCCTTTCTCATCTGCTGTGCTTATTTGGATGGATTTTTCTCTTTAACAGCTTGCTGTGAATTGACATTTTTACTATGTCCTATTTTTAGTCAGGTGATTCTATTAAATTAAAACCTCTTTGCCCGACAAGGAACCTCTGGTCTTTTTGGGAAAGTATAGATTTGTCTTCAAAAGGTAAATGAATAATATAGTATGTCAGTGCTTTCTAACCTACTTTTTTTTCTTGGTTTGAATAAAATGATTTGTTTGGAACATGGACAGGCTATATTGGATACATAGGGTTGCTGATTATTGCATCACTAGTCTCTTGTGAATTCATACATTTATTATTATAAAAATGGTGAAATGAACCCTTCTAATGCTGGCGTTCTTTTGTTTAACTTGCTATTATTATGAGATCTCTAGAAATTCTCTATGTTGTGAATGTCATATATGTTCTTCATCATGTAAAAGCTGTGAGTTAATGTTGCATTTTTCTTGTTCTGCATATGTTAACATGGAATAGCAGTAATAGTTTGTACAGACACTTAAGAAGTAGAGTAAAAAAAGAGCAATTAGCAAATAAAATGAGACTACGATGTCTTAAGTTCTGATGTTGTTTGGCCTTCATAATGACTTTGCTTGTTCTGTATTATATTTTCTCTTAGGTCTATGCATGTATGATGGTTTTCTTCTTGAGCAACATGATTGAGAACCAGTGTATGTCAACAGGTGCATTTGAGATAACTTTGAATGGTGAGTTCTGTGATGAATTTTAATGATTTATAATGGGCATGAGGCTTTTCTGTTTTTTCATAATGTGCTAAATTTATCTCTGTTTACTAATCCTGCATGATCTGCTCCCATGACTTTTAGAATTACATCTGTATGTTATAATCTCTGAATTATAGCTCTAGAGAGCTCTGACCTTCCTTCTAGGTATTATACCCAGGAATCTTAAATTCCTACTCTCAAAATATTATCTCTGGTTCCTACAACTCTTGTATGCTCCCAGTTTGCTCCTTTCTTGGCATTTCTCATTTACATAATGGTATCATTGTCATTCTACTAAGTTGCCCATGTCAGATACCTAGGATAATCTCACTTTCTCCTTACTCTCCATATCTAATGGTTACCAGCTCTTCTCAATTCTACCTACAACATTACCCAAAAACCTGTGTTCACCACCACCACCATAGTCCAAGCCACAATTATTTTGTTACCCTCTAATACATTCTCTAAACCAGAGGTTGGCAAATAATGAGCTAATAATAGTTTTTACATTTTTTAAATGGTTACAAAGAAGTCAAAATAATATTTTGTGACAGATGGAGATAATACGGAATTCACATTTCAGTGTTCATACCTAAAGTTTTAACTTTCATCAGTGAAAAATTTGTGGAAATTTATTTCTCTGGTTATATAAATACCTATATAATCTTGATTTTGGCTGTTACTCTGTAAAGTCTAAAATACTTATCTGGCTTCTTATAGAAAAATTTTCTGACACCTCTTTCAAAGAGTAGAGTGATACTTTTTTTCAAATGCACTTTTCAACTTCTTGCTTCATTGACTTAAATTCATTAAATAGCTTTACTGTGTTCTCAAGATTAAGACCAAATCATTTAACATGGCCAAAACTTTTAAAAGTATGATGCAGCCTAGGGATCAACAAACGATGGCTGTATGGGCCATGTTCTCTCCTACCTTTTTTTTTTTTTTCAGTGAAGTTTTATTGGAACACACTATGCCTATTCATTTATGTATAAATGTTGCTCTTTCCGTGCTACAAGGAGAGTTGAGAAGCTGTGATAGACTGTATATCTTCCCTAGCTAAAAATTCTTATTATCTGGCTCCTTACCATTTGTTGACCCCTGACCTAGACCCTTTCTGTCTCTCCAGCCACCTGTGTAGCACTCTTAGAAGTATTCCATCTCTCTCTTCACTTTTAATAATATCTCTCACTTTTAGTAATAGTAAGTGCAAAGGCTCCTTTCCAGTCTCTCATATGTGCGTCTCAGCATCTTCTAGTGTTTTTAGCATACAATTGTGATTTGTAGCTCTTTGTATGGTTCTTTTTATATTTCCCGTACTAGAATATAAACTCCGTAATAGTAAGAAGTATAATTCTTCTGTTCACTTCCTATCCCTGGCTGTGTACATAGACAATAAACATATGTGAAATGAATGTCTACTACAGCATCAATTTTAATTTGGGGGGATGGTACCTTTTATTTTTATAGATGTACCTGTATGGTCTAAGCTGGAATCTGGTCACCTTCCATCCATGCAACAGCTTGTTCAAATTCTTGACAATGAAATGAAGCTTAATGTGCATATGGATTCAATCCCACATCATCGATCGTAGCCCCACCTATCAGCACTGAAAACTCTTTTGTAAGTAGTAGCAACCTATAGTTATCAGTTAATTCTCATCACAAATCAACAAGACACTAGATACTTCATATATTACCACTTGAGTTTCCAACTTAAGATTTAACAGATGGATGTATTCTTCATTAAAGTTTGTTAAGGGATCAAGAGAGTTTGGACCTTCCAAAATATAAAGTAAGGTTGTGCTAATAATTTTATCTTCAAGTCTGTATAACTGGGCCTGTAACATCATTTTTTTGACTGTGAGCTCCTAGTGGCCAGACTTGATTTATTATGCTAGGATGTTTGTATACATACCTTCTCCTTACTTTGAAATAACTGGTTCCTAAGAGTATGAAGATACTTTTAACGTGCTCAGGATAGGAAATTTGTCAGCAAATATGTGTGAACATGGAGATGTTAACTCTTGCTTAACAGAGATGTTCTCAGTTCTTTGCTGATCAATGATTTTACAAGAGTGAATTTTGAAATAAAATACTCTTCTCTTCTGTGTATCTTTCAGACATTAAGGGATTTTTTGCAAGAGCAGCGTGACTGACATTATGAAGGCCTGTACTGAAGACAGCAAGCTGTTAGTACAGACCAGATGCTTTCTTGGCAGGCTCGTTGTACCTCTTGGAAAACCTCAATGCAAGATAGTTTTTCAGTGCTGGCACATTTTGGAATTCTGCACATTCGTGGAGTGCAATAATACTGTATATTTTTTTCTTCCCCAAATCCACTCAGTTAATAGTTTTTAAAAAAATGTAGACATTACTACTTGTACCTTTTTTTCTTAGTCATATTTGAAAAAGTAGAAAATTGAGTTACAATTTGACCTTTTTTTCAAAGATGTCTGTTAAATCTGTTGTGATTTTATATAAATTTTCCTTTTTTATAATTTAAAATTGATCTTTTTGGGAATACAGCTGAAGTTCCCAAGTACTTTATAAGAGTTTATCAGACATCTTATTTTGGTCCTATCCAATTTATATAGTTTTCAAAATACTACGGATTGTAAACAGTGCATTATATAAGATTATGGGGGGAAATCCTATATCCAGAGTACTCTACCAATTTGTGTGTATGTGTGTGTGCGTGTGTGATTACCAGAGAATTACTAAAAGACCAACTGCTTTTTAAATCCTGTTACGTAGTTCAAGTGTCTTGCCTTGACCAATCTAATGAGTTGATTAACTAGGCCTTTTTACTTAATTCAATAAAAAACTTAAGCAGATGTAAGTTAAATAAAAAGTTTGAATTTATTGCCCAGTGTACCTGTTAACATTGAGTTGTCTGCCTAAATTTTTGTTTTTGACTTACAGATTTCATAAGGGATACACTTTAGATTCACACACAGATAATAGATTACTTACCATTTTTAGGTTAATTGAAACTCATCTCACTTGAAAGTTCAGTTGAACCTCTTTATAACATTAATTTTAGGTGAATGGAGATCACTTATCTAATAATTTAACTTGTTTAACATCATACATCAGAATTTTATTATATTTAAGGAACAAAATTGAAAATTTTTTTATTTAATGAATTTACTATCTTCCCAGAGTTCTACAAACATAGTTAAAAAAAATAACAAATTAAATTGGTAAAGACTGCAAGAGTAATTTAGCAGAAATAGGACCACAGTGTAGAAAAGTACTCATAAAGCAAGTCATAACATAATTGAGCTTCCATATAGGACTAGAATTCCATATACCTCTAGATTTGTTAGTGGAAGTGAAGGGATTTGAGGAAGCTATGAGGTAATTGAGCATTGGGTCCATCAAACACTTAAGCACAAACCTTATACTTTGTTTGTCCCTGGATATTTATTTGTTGAATTAGTGTCTGGTAACTGTCTTAATTATGACAGCCTCAAGGTGGAACAAACTGTAATCTCTAACTGACAGGAAGTTTGTCTAATAATTCACTGCAAAAAATTGATTAAATGGCTTATCCTATTAAGACTGCAGAACTGTTAACCTCAGTTCATGTGGTGGCAAGAATCAGTACAATATAAGCTGGAAGTTACCTAGAGTTTATTTTTCAAGTATAATTACATTTTGTCTTTGACTGGGGTTTAAAACCTTTCTAACTTGATTTGTACAAGCCCCTATTTCCTGTCTTCTGCCAATTGAACACACTGCTCAGTGTGTCTAGGGTCTTTCTTCAGCTGATGGACATTCCACTAGGGACAAGTTAACTTTTTGGCATTTAGATCATCCAGACTTTAGCTTTGTATTGTATAGTCCCATGTATCTGACAGGTCAACCATGGAGAACCTAAGATTCAATCCTAATTTTTTCCATGTTTGACTTGTGTGAATAATTTATCTTTTGGAGAATAGCTTTAAGTAGTTTAGACACTGATAAAGCTCAGCTGTTTTGTTAATACTCATCTCAATATTATTGTTTCATCTTTGTTCATATTTAAATCTAGGATTTAATAGTGAAACAATTAGTGGGAAGCATAAATATTTAAAAAAAATAAGGAAAAGGAAGTTAAAAAGAAACTATTTAGAATGTAGTTATATTATATTCCTAACATTTCAAAATT